ACCACAGGACGACGACAGCCAGCTTGACGAGGTCAGCGACAAGGGAGACCACAGACACGACCCGAAGCCGTTTACATTGGACTCACTACCTACAGATTGAGGACGTGACATTCGTTGCCCAGTAGGCTGGAAGGCAAATCGGTCCATCGAAGAGCGTGGGCGAGGACAGCTGGCATTACGCAACAGCTCCCGCCCGCGCGCACTTTCTTTTCCGCCGCTGAAGCCAGACATGGCCGCTGCACCACTATCGCGATGCCAACCTTCGTCCACAGAGCTAACTACGTACTTGGTGCTCGAAGACGATAGACTTACCACCGCCACCTTCCAGACTTATGGATGCACCACAGCAACCCTTCGGTTCGGCACTGTGCGAGATGGAGTCGCTCTACAAGCGGGGCGAGGACTTCAGACTGGCAGTTACGATATTCAACCAGTGCAACCACGATGAAATCAAGGCGCCAGCAAGTGCAGCTGATACACCTACAACCAAGGCATCTCCGTAGACGCGCTAACGGCAATGCAAGCAACGGCGATATAGGTTTCGGCATTGTAAGTGGGACTGGTTCGTGGCCAAACCAATGCTTTCCTACAATTCGCTCGATGCATTCGCACATGTGAAATATAGGAGAGCGTGGTTCGTGATTTCCTACCATTTGTTATGTGCGAGCTCGGTGTCACAAAAATCGGACTCCCAACATCGCCGTTGACCAAAATCGCTGTTAGCGCGGCCTTGGCAACTATCACAGTATCATTGTATTCCCGTTCCTGCCAGTAGTCGAGCGATTGGGAGGTCAACCTACGCTGGGCGGCATAATTGTTGCGACGTATTTTCGGATCCCACGACGTGCCGTTCTGCGTCGTGGACGCGCCCGCGCGGACCTCGTCGCATTACAGCAGCAGTACTTGATCCACCAGCACGGCTCCAATAGACTGCGCACGAACCCGCGCTTCTCCAGACAACCTACTACCGTGCGACGCCAGGCCACGGGCGCGTTGTCCAGTCCGTACACATTCACCAGGAGGTGGATCAGGGAGCCTGGCTCGACCTCGATCCCTTCGCACGGCTCCACACAGATCTGGCCCTGGGACCTGGTCGGGGTCGGACTGGGTGAAGGCGTTCTTGACATCGGCGATGTCACCTAAGATCCCGAAACGATGTCTCGGGGCTGGGGGCATACACGGCGAGAGACCCTGAGTCCGGATCCTTATGCCCGTGGACACACCAGCGTGGCTTTGCCTCGGGCTCCGCGAAGGTGTCGCGGATCGTCGCCGCTTGGTCCGGTGGGACGACTCGGACACCCCCGGACTGCAGCATCGCCTGCCACTCCTTCCTGTCAGAGGCCTGGAATTTCTGCCTTTCCTGAGGCGTAAGCTTCTTCAACGTGATCTCTCCCCCCCTGGCTGGCAGCGAAGGTGCTTCCATCCTGACTGTTTCGGTCGGTGCACCCGATCCAAGCACTGGATTGACCAGCCTGGACGGTGAGCCCTCCTTGCGGTCCTGGGACCACCCAGAAATCATCCGTCTCCTCGACCTCACCTTCCAGCCTCCCTCGTTGTCCTGGGGATCGAGACTTGTTCCGGGGCTCGAGAGCCTGGATTCGTTCCTGCACGGGGCGTCTTAGTTCGTGCCTGGCCTCGATGGGTCTTCGGTTCGACTCAAACGGCTCCTGGCCTGGAGGAGGAAACGACTGAGCACCCGGAGTGCCACCACCACCACCAAGACCAGAGGAAGGCGGACGAGGAGGAGGAGGAGAGGAGGGAGAGGACCGACCAACGGAGGAGTCGGGGGAGACAGGAGCACGGGCCTCTAGGGTCCTGGCCCTTTTGAGTTCGGGCGGTGCGCTCTCGGCGCGTGTCGCCCGTATGCACGCCGGGACGTCGTCCGGCTGAGGCAGTCGACCCCGTGCCTTGGAGCCGGCATTCCCTGGAGGGAAAGGGGGAACAGAGGAAACGGGGTTGAGAGCCGGACGAGGAGAGGAGCGGTGAGCAGATAAAGGGACGGGATCGGCCGGCGATGGCTCCGAGGCCCTCTCGACTCGGGCTCCGCCTGGGGAGGGAGGAGGAGTAGAGGGCGAGAGGGCTGACGGCTCTCCCTAGACAGCTCGGAGATAGAAGGAAGTCCAGTTCTTTCAGACCCAGGCTATGAGCACTGACCGATCCGGCTCGAGAGACGCCGCTCCTTGGCGGCTTCGGAGGGAAACCCAACGGCCTGGTCGCCGAAGGGGCAGGAGCCGGAGGCTCTGGTCCGGGGCCCACGTCGGGCTCTGGGCCGGTCCCGGGAACCTTGGGCCCGGAGTCGAGGTCAGCTTGAGCTGCCTGGTCCCAGGCATCCTCAGGTGGGGGGCCCTCTCGCTGGACGTCGACAGCCGTCACACGTCGGGCCTGGGCGGCCTGGAGGAGGTCCTGCCGGCGCGGGTCCTCGGCCAGCTGAAGCCCATATTCCTCCTCGGGGCTGGCCAGCCGGATCTGTTCGGAGGAACACTTCCACAAACGAGCCCGGACCGCCACCCAAACAGTGCCTCCTTCGGCCAACACCACGAACCGGGCCGGTCCATCCAGCTCGACGTCCACCCAAGGAGTCGGCTCTGGAGGAAACCCTGGTGTACTGGCGCCACACGAACACCCACTGGCCTGGGGTAAACTTCCTGGATCTGGGAGTCCTGGCCCTGGCCGCCTTGGAGATTTTGTCTGGGGAGGTAGCCTCCATGGCCAATCTTCTGGCGGCGGCTCGGATGGCCTGGGCCCGGGCGAATTCGGCACCAGCCTCGTCCTGTTCTGAGGACGGGCTGGTAAGATCTTGCCATCCTGGAATGGCTCTATGGTCGTCGGACAGGAGATCATGAGGGAGGCGAGGATTTTCGCCAAACACGAGCTGGAGCGGCGAAAAACCCCCTCTGTGCCAAAAACGGTTCTTGTGAGACGTGAGCTCGAATATTCAATCATCGAGCTCCTGGAGGTTGGCTGGCAGAGTCGACCCTGCCTCTAGTTCTACTCGCACTCGATCCTTAATCCAGCGTCCGTGTCTCTCGACCCTCCCGTTCTGCCAGGGGGAGTCGGCGTCACACACTTGGTGGAAAATCCCCCACTGCTCCAAACCTCGAGCGAAACGGGCGCCGAACTCCGAACTACCGTCGGAGATGATCATATGTGGCGCACCCAGCGGACGGATCCATGACCTCACAAACTCGGACCAGACCGCAACAGCCGTAGCGCTCTCGACTCGGGAGACCACCTGAGGATTGGATCCGTGGTCTACCACATTCAGGTAGGGATACGTCACGCCCTGGAACTCCATATAGAACAGGTCCACCCCGACAATATGATTGAATCTGAAAATCCTGGACAGAGCCACGTGACGATTGGCCCCCGATTTCGACCGCTCCGCGCAGTCCGAGCAGACGAAGTGTTTCCGGACCCACCGGACGAGTCGCTGCTTGGCGCCACCTGCCCGCATCACTCGAACAAATTTGCGATTGCCGGGATGGCCCATGTTAATTACAGTGAAGCTTGTAGACCAGTCGCTTCCCGTCTTCTGACGGTTCGGGCTCCGGCTCTTCGGCCCTGCTGGGACGATGGGCCTGGTTAGTATGTCCTTCTGTCAGTTGTAAGTGTTTGCAAAGACATAGAAGCTGGTTATAACCAAGGTATAACTTGAGCAAGTTGGGTGTAAGCTGACTAACCATATCCTGGGCGCGGTAAGGCCATAGCAGAGATAGCGAACCAGCGTAGCCGACCAGGGCGGTTACGAAGGTGGTTACGCTATCCACGCCATTTGGTTAGCGAAGATACGTGATGTACTTAGCGAGCTTCTGTAAGTTGACAGTATCTACTTGAGTGGAGTTAGTAAGTTCACTATGTCAGTTTAGTAACCTACTTAGCGAACTCACCTAAGTAGGTTATATGTCCTTCCCCCCCCGCCCCCGTCGCATGTTCAATCCCTGCATCGTTGCTACCAGTTCTGCGCCTCCCCATGCCCAATACTCCTCCCCCTCCAGGTCCTATGCCGACCCCCCCGTGGTTTGTGTTGGTTTTCGCAGCCGTTTTGGCTCTCTTCTCAGGGGTGTACCTCCCCGCTGCGTCATGGCAGCGGCGGCTTCTTCCGCCGACGCGATGGTTGACACTGCGATTTCGCAGGTCATGGACAGAATGATCCCTGGCATTAAGGAGCAGATTCAGGAACACTACAATGGGACAGCATCACAGATCAAGGCAGCTGCCGAGGGAATATGCAGCACACTCTTGGCGAATGGATTGACATATGAACAAGTTGTAGCGGTTTCACAAAACATGGGGGGTGCATCCCAAGAACAGGTTCAGCACGGGAGTTTCTATTCAGAAGGTGCATGCGTTGATCACCAGGATCATGGAGCAAGGATGAGTGAAAACGGAGTTGCGTTCACCTCGCGCGTTCGAGAAAGCGCCAGGAGAAGTTGGACACGAGCAGTGGTTGTTCAACAAACGCTTGGTTGATGCAAGTGACGGGTACTTGGCACCGATCGAGAGCCACCATTGCCGCTTCCTCAGTGTATCATGCCCCCATACGTTTCAAGGGGTACGTTGCCTGGTCAATGGGGTGAAGACGGACTGTTCGGAGTTGGCCATTTCAAATGGCATCAGCTTGGAGAAAGTGTTGTCCAAGTGCCCGTCGTACAACATGTCAATCTCTGAGGGCTGCAAGGTGCTGGTCGTGAAGTGGGAGGTGGATCGAAGATGTCCCGACCTAGCTGACTTTCTCCAGCGCGCTGGCAACAGCGGCAATGGGAGCGAGCAGTTGCAGGATCAGTTGCAGACCCTCCTCGAGGTTACTTGACCATGAAGAGGTTCATCGAACTCAAGGTTATGGGGAGGGGTGAATGCCAGATGCGATCAGGGTTTGCGTCCTGGGGGGGACGGGGCTTGGGACCTCGGGAAATAGGGAACGACCAACCCCCCCCCCCCCCCCCCCCACACACACCCAGGGCCTCGAATGTCGCATCTGCCAGTCATTGCCTCCATGGAAGGGGGGCCCTCAGATACCGACGGTGGTCAGAATGATCGAAGACGAGAAGCCTCACTTGAAAGATCAGGTCGAGTCTATGGCGAAGTTCGTCCGCAAGTTCAGCGGGGGGCCCGATGGATCGCTCCTTCACGACCTCGTCAAGTTCAGCGGCACCCAGAGGTTCACGCGAGAGATCCACACCGCGATCTTCAAGGCGATGGCCGATATCAATTTTATTCAAGGTTCGAAATATGTCAGCGCAATGGTGAAGGCCGCCCTAGTTGCGCCAGGGCAGCATTGCAGGGATAACCAGTCTCGTTTGTTTTCGTCGTCAGACTGCCAATCAGTTACGGGGTATAAGAAATCACTTTGCACTCAGGTTGTTGGCAACATCGAACCCATCGAGAAGTTTTTCGAGATTGGAGGCCCTGTTGGACATATCGGTGACATTGAGAAGGTCAAGCTGCTGAGCAGCTTCGAATTAAATCAGTCATGCACATCCATTCAAAAAATGCATGGGGAGAAAGACCTTCGCCGACTTGGATGCTATTCGCACGGACTTTTCCGATGAATGTTTCAAAATTGATCCGACATTGAGGGGGCTGCCGAAGAACAAACTGCCGTGGGAGTACACGGCTGCGTCGGAGAGCGCGAAGACCACCACCGAGCACGCCGTCGGCTTCGTCGATCCCCGTGGGCAGGCAATCCAGGAGTCCTTGAAGCACCATGGGTTCGAGGTGAACGCCGTCATCAAGAAGCATAAGGGCTCAGACGACGAGTTCACGATCGCCAAGATGACGCAGGATGCCGTCTTCCTGGTGAAGGGGTCGCAGGTTCGCAAGAAGTACGTGCCGCCGTACATCCAGCTGGCCCCCGCCGAGCTGCTGGACGAGTACAAGGTGTCCTCCTCTTCCTCCTCCTCCTCCTCCTCCTCCTCCTCCTCCTCACTCTTCCTCATCGCCCCTCCTCGCCGCCCCTCCACCCTCTCCGTCTGCTGATGCTGCTGCTGGTACTCCTGATCCGGATCCTCCTCTCCTCCTCCTCCTCCTCCTCCTCCTCCTCCTCCTCCCCATCATCATCCGCATATCCCATCCTCTTGCTCTCCCTCCTTTTCCTCCTCCTCCTCCTCCTCCTCCTCCTGCTCCTTCTCTTTCTACTATGCTACCCCCTCTCGCCGTTCCTTCGCTTCCCATTCTCGCGCCCGCCATAGGTGACGGTGACCATCCCTGTGAGCGTCTACGGAGTCGAGAGCTTCAAGCGGATTCAGGACGACTGGGCTGGGGGGGTAGGAAAAGGAAAAACAGGGGTGGGAGGAGGACGAGGAAGTGGAAGAGGAGGATGAGGAAGAGGAGGAGAAGAAGGAAGAGGATGAGGATGATGAGGAGGAACGCGAGGAGGAGGAGGAGGAGGAGGAGGAGGAGGATAATAATGATAATAATGAGGACGGCGAGGAGGAGGATGAAAAAGGAGGAGGAGAAGGAGGAGGAGGAGGAGGAAGGGGTGAGGGGGAAGAGGAAGAGGAAGAGGACAGGACAAACAGTAGGACGATGAGGATGACGGGGATGATAAAGTAGGGTGGCCCCGTTTTGGGCAGAGGGGTGAAATGGCGATGGGGAGTGCCTCGTGCGAGCCCCCAGGCTGACAAGAGCATGACGATGGACTTGTTCAAGGCGCACCTCAAGGAGGTGCTGTGGCATGCTTTTTTGGATCACGTGCCTGATGTCAATGTGCAGTGCACGCACGGAGCCAAGTTGACAACCGCAGTTTTTTCCAACGCCCGTTTTGGCAAAGGGGAACTCACGCTGGTTCCCCTGACTTTCAACATCGGGATCGGGACGAAGGTCCCAGCCAATGGCCTGGCTTTAAAGCACTCGGGTAAGTTCTCGTGTTCCAGGGACGACCGTATCTGGCTGATGCCCAAGGCAGATCCCCCTGGAACGCACATTGGCACGATCCCATTTTGGCACGTGAAGCATGCGCCCGATAGTTCGGTGGCGAACATGCGCATGAGTGAGATTTCTGTTTGTTTAAAGGTCCACGCAGCATGCGAATGGATCAATCATGAAATTACTATCCCAGTAATGACCAACACAAGCGTTGTGCAGCCTGGCGTTGAGCTGTTGCAGCTCCCCACCGCGATGGCAGCGTCATCGAGGCCGTCGGCGACACCCCCCCCTGCCAAGAGGGCGAAGGCTTAATTCTAATGTGGCGGTGGTGCAGCGCAGCGTCCCCTCCTCACTGCCTTGTCTTCTTCTAGCATGTGTCAGAGATGCATTGACATGAACACGTGAGTTGTATGTGTATCCGTTGTGCACAACAGCAACACACTTACACATCTCACAACCTCGCTCCCAACTTGCTTGCCGCGCACGTTTTTCAGCCATGGCACGATGGTGTGCCAGTCTTCTTTTGAGCGTCTCTGCGAGACGCGGCCTGGCCATGCGATCAAGCATGTGGGTACAGCCACGCTGCGACGTGACTGCTGCGCTGGCCACGTCGGGCCCCATGGAGGCAGCCGATGCGAAGCCCCGCATCCCGACCAGAGTCGAAAAGCTCCGCAGATAACGAAACCTAGGTTGAGGATGAGAGTGAGGATGATGAGGGCACATGGGGACGGTAGAGGATGGGGAGAGCAGCAGCGGCACTTGACGGGAATGAGGAGGACGATGGGATGTGCGGGAGAGGAACAGTGTAAGACCACTCGCAGCTCAAATGGTCTGGGCGTTTACGGTTCACAGCACGGTCCGCTCACATTGGACAACCGCATTTCTCACACTCATGTCGTTCTCATGGCCATCGCCCCTAACCCTGGCAGCTCTAAACAATTTTCCGAGGGGGAGGGCGGGGGGCATAGGCCCTGGTTGAACCAACGCAACACACAAGCATTCGCATATACCGCACGCAACTGCATGACGCACCGTTGGGTCGACCAAACATCCGACATCCCCCCGACCAAGCGGGGGCGCAAGCGTATCAATGCAGGCACACCTCACATAAACAAAATAAGTACTATATATTTAGGCCACGTTAGCAATAACATGTCAAACACATCGGGGGCGACAGCGTGCGTTTCGGTCCGACGTGGCCTGGTCCGAACCATGTTGGCTCAAGCAGGCTTGTTCAACGTTTCTCGCGTACCCTCCGACATCACACACGCACTAGTGCACGATGTGCGCTGACAGCACTTCCATTGAGACGGGGTGTGTCGCTATCAGGAAGGGCCCCTCACAGACGGATGGCGGGTGTTGGAAGCCCTTCGCCCAAGAGAAAGATGGATACACGTTTGTTACGTGTGACAAATTGGATGCAAAATTTCAGAAACTCGTCGGGAAAGACCTTTCGATGTATGATGAGCTTGTCCGCCTCCGCAATGAGACAACATTGAAGCTCATGCGCGGGGTGGGGCGAGACGGTGACCCATCCGCTGACAGTCTTAGCCCTGCTTCTCTATCACGACCTCGGAAACAATTGATCGATGATATACCGAGTTCGTGCGTGGTCGAGGTCGTCGGCGCTTCTGGAACAACCCACCCCGCCCGTGTTATGACAGCGCTGGCCACCAGTGCCAGATTGTCGATCGAGTGTGATCCGCAGGCGCTCGCTGCTCTCACAAAGAAGCCCCTCACCCATGCCCCCCGTATTCGGGTTCACGAGGAACATGTGACGTGGCTCGCGAGTCGCAGCGTCGTGAAGACGCGCTACGTCGAGAACGGCAAGAAGCGTCAGAAAACAATGCCTGTGCCTGCTGGGCCCAACCTACAAGAGAGAGTGAACAGCATGGCGCGTCTCCTGGAAGAGTTCTACCTACAACACGATGATACACGCACGTCTCATGGCAAGGGTGTCGCGCCGTTTGGGGGACATCTTGAGGAGCCTCATGGCGCTACTAGTGGTGGATCCGAGGATGAATGCAGCCCGCGTGGACTGCAACGCGAGGGTGCATAGGTGCGTGTGTCTTGTGATAGTGAGGGCGTGGGAGAGCATGGAGGAAGAACAAATTGAGGAAGGGATGATATCAGGAGCAACCCAAAGGTAGGAATGTTAAGGAACGGGGGGGGGGGGGCCATGCTGTATGTGATCGCAGCCTTGCGAGCTAGATTCGAATTTGCACGGCGTGGCAGCAGAAGCCACGGTGGGTTAGTGGGGGGCCGTTCGCATTGGGGGGGTGCAGAACGGCGCGGCTCACCGACGCAGTTTCGTTGCCCGATAGCGCTACACATCCACCGTCGGTGCTGTCCAAACAGAAAAAACACTGATACATCAGAGTGTGTTTTCAGGCCGTGCAGTTGCGAAGCAGTGTGATATAGAGTCGCGTCGTACCGATGATGAATACAAAAGCAGGGGCTCACACGCATGTGTCCCGTCTGATTGACGGGGGCATTGGCAGAACACGGCAGCTCGATCTAGAGAGTATCACCCCAAGATGCCTATGCACAAAAGTGCTAGGTAGCACTTTGGCACGGATCTGCAAAAGTGCTACCTGGCACTTTGATGCAGCGCCCCAACCTCCACCTAGCACTTGCACCTCATGACTTGAGGCAGTATGCACCAAAGTGCTAGGTAGCACTTGAGGCATGAGGCATTCAAGTCGGAAGTGTAATCGCTTGGTGGAGGTTGAGGCAATGCATCAAAGTGCCACCTAGAGGTTTCATAGCTTTTGCGCACAAGTGATAGGTAGCACTTTTGTGCAATGACTGTTTGGGGCCCATGCTGGCCCAACAACAGGCCGAACCTCCTCAACATGCTCCCTCTCGACCTCCTCCACCATCTCCTCATGCCACTTCTCCTGGTCAGCTTAGCTGGTATCCTCCGCATCACCTCCCTCCTGTGTTCCTCTGATGTGGTTGTGTGTAAACAAGCAACTGCCAACTTTGAACCAAAACAGGTCCGCCATTTTGGCTACCGTGTGTCTCTGGAGCCCACGAACCCACCCCAACAATATCCGTAGCCATTTTGGTTCAATTAGGTTTTTCTAGCACCCAAGCACTAACATGCCACTGGTCACCACAGTCTGTGTACCATGGCTGCTGCAGGAAGCGTGGCAGCGACCCTGATTGCGAACATCCAGAGCCGTGTTGCGTTCGTGCACGGGCAGGTCGCCTTGGGCATTTCGATGGGCACCCTGCTGGCCAACCAGTGTCATGCCATCATTGGCGCCATCGGCCATGCTGGTCACATCAACCTCGACGATTGCAACCGCGTCGGGGAGGAGGTGAGCTCTGGGCCATGGAACGATCAGCAGAAGCTTGCGATCGCAGGGGCGCTGTCGGACGCATCATCCCAGTTGGGCGTGCCTACGGGACCGCGCCCCCCAGCAGAACTGCAACGGCATCCACAACTACTTCACGGACTCCGACTGGACGTGCTTCGAATCCACTGAGGCGTCGCTCCGCGCAAAGTCTACTACAATGGCAAATCGGTTGTGGCGCATCGGCTTCACATGCCCATCCGAGAAATTGATATGCAGTGTTACATCCTTGCTGGTTGCGGCTCATCAGCCAGGCAGCTCCATGGATCCATCGTCCAAGAGGGAGCTCGCGAAGCAGATCCAAGCCGAGATTAAGAACTTGGACAAGAGGAACGGTCGCCACACCTTTCCACACGTCAAGACTCTTGGGGAGTTCCTATCCGCGGAGCTGAGCGACCAGCTCATGAGCTTCGCCTACAACGGTGACGCACCAGTACATGCACCTGTGAGGGTCATCAACGCGATGGAGGGCATGCACATCAGGAAGTCCAGCCGAGCTCTCGGAAGGGCTCAGCCTATGGCTGCAGGCGCGCTCCCACCTGCAGGAGTTGCCCCCCTGCATGCAGAATCCAGCTGACTTCCTAAGCATGATGGCCACCATGTTTCAGCAGTTCGGCGGCG